ACGGACTTCCAACGCTAAAAACCGATACCCTTGGGCGTTAGAGCACAGATAGCCCTTTGTGTAGCTTTGTGTTTAACTACAAACAAAGCTTGTAGGAATCTTTAATATACCACAAAAAGAGAGTTAAATGATGTAGTATTTAATCACAAAATAATATTTTTCTTTAAACATCAGATTAAGACTGCATATGGAAATAACAGATATTGACACCTCTTTTCCCACCTTGACACAAAGAGTAAAAAGTATAGGACTACAAAAGTCTGATATTTTGTGAAAGCTCTTTTTTTGTTTTTGCGTATATTTATAGTGAATAAGAGTTAAAGGTATATTTGTGTTCTCGGTGTTATCTTTACGTCAAAATTAACACTAAAACCTTTTATCGGAATGTTACGAAACTTGGTAGTCGGATAGAAAATCAAAAGTTTCACGTTGCATTCTATTTATGACTTAGCTCTTCGTTTTGGACCTTGGAACACATAGCAATATTAATTTGAGGAATTTATGTCTGTTAATTGTCATCAAATCTTGACATTTTTATAACTGATTTATATAGCGAGAGTAATTAAAAAATGGTTCAAGGTATAACTATCACATTAGAAAAGAGATTTATTTGTGTAAAGCCTCGTCTTGTTATTCAATTCGCTACCAGGATTAATTTTGTTATAGTAATTCTATACCAGGTACACATAACTTCGTATTTTGAACTATCTTCCTCAGGAGCCATGAATGATGGTATGTGTTGGGTTCGGTAATTTATATATCATCAATTTAAAAAAAATAATCAGAGGAAATATAAAGTCGATAATTCATCATCTATAACTATTCAATAATATGGTATAACGTTAAATATAATTGTGAGACACTGGGATACTTTTTAGATTCTGATTACACAAAGTAGTTGAAAGGGAATCTCCACACAATCTTATCAGTTTATAAGTGACAACCGTCGCCACATAAATGCATGATGGTTTAACTTCTAAGAAAGCCAACAATTTCTATTACAAACGTTTATATTATTAACGTCACAAGTCACTACATATCAAAATGTACAACCATGCAATATAAAAGTTTCTATGGCTAATTATACATGTTTAACTCATCAGTAATGTTATTGAAAACTGTAGGACATTAAGAGATTGATACATTGTCTCGATTCAATAGATGATCTGATAGGCAAGTTTCTGTTATTAGAAGCTGAAAAGAGAATATTTTAATGAGAATATCACACACATTTTGGTGTTCTAGGATTTGCGATTTGTTATTGGAACAAGTGTTTCATGTTCACAAATTCTTTGACGTAAAAATCGAGTAGTGGAACCGAAGTAACTTTTCTTAGTACAAAAGACAGGTATAGTTGTGAACAATCAATGACTTCATTAGCTCGGAAATTTTATTTTTATCAGAAATAAAAGATGATAGAGTTTAAACGAAAACGTACATAGTCTTGCTTACTTTGGCGAAGGATCATTGGTTTTAAGAGACCAGCTTGTGCAATTTCTGAGAAGATTCTTTTCACAGATTATACTCACCATTTTGTTTTCAGAAATTATTTTAGACTTTACCATCTTTCTGAGAAGATTCTTTTCACAGATTATACTCATTATTTTGTTTTCAGAAATCCTTTTCGACTTTACCATCTTTTTTCAGATAGATCTGTTGCTGTTTCCTTAAACCTGTTTACTTATGAGCTGACTGGAATATTAAACGTCATGACTAGACAATCATAGAGATTTCATAATCTGTGATTTATATTAACTTGTTGCTGTAATATATGACAGACCATTCGGTTACGATGGTCGTCTTTCGTTGACTAAAATAGGTTAATGTTCAGGGGATTCATATTGAATTTACAAACATTCTATGTGAACAGAGAGACTTTTCAAAGATTAAATAGCATGTCATTTGTTTCATAATCAGAAGTAGTAATAGATGTTTAGTGTACGTCTTATTAGAGATTTTGTTTAGCTATTGTCGACTGACACTTTGAGTAAACACATAACATACAAGTTATTGCTGAGTGAAGTTTTCAAGTCAAACAATGACCACCTACTACCCAAATTACACTGCTCGCCACGGGAACTGGACACTTTGTTACGAACGTTTCGTTACGCCACATTGTTACTAGGACAACTTGTGGCGGGTGCATTCTTGTTACATGATTTTTGTGACATTGCAGATTTTGTTACGAATACTAATTTTGTGACAGGTAGTTTTTTGAATATAAAATTGACTGGTGACAATAATAAAAAAATATGGAATCATTTGGGGACCATTCAAAAATTAAATAATTAGGTAATGGTGAATATAGTAACAAAATTCACCAATCAGAAAATACAAAAACAAACTTGTAACGAAACCTTTCGTAACAATGTGATGGTAACTAAGATGCCGTAACGAAATTTCTTTCGTAACAAAAATTCCATGTCACAAGCTGTCCGTAACGAAATGTTCTAGACTCTTCTCTATACACCGTTTGCTTTTCATGGTTATTCGAACAAAAGTGTCAACTATATTCAATAAAGATTACAAAACTTCTCTTAATGTCAACATAAAGTAAATTATGAACAAGATTTTGTTTGCTGAATTTCGTGCAGGGCTACTCGAGGACTATCTGAAAGGGCGAGAATGTTCGGTGAAGGGACTCGAGCTCGTGAACCACCAGACCATGACACGCTAACGGATAAGTAATAATATTTTAAAACAGTTACTGTTAAACACTTACAAGTAACGAGAGAAGTTATTTCTTGACTACTTACTGTTTCATATTTTACTAGAATAAGTCTTTTACTTTCAGTTGTATACGAACGTTTTAGAAACAATCGTATGACACTAAAACCGGAAATATGTGGCGCGATAGTTGGTATTCTACTTAGGCATATAATAAGAAACAACAATGTCCTTGGAACGTTTTAAGCCCTAGATTTCTTTTAGGTTGCTTAATGTAAGAACTATTGTGTTTAGAGTGAAGTAGGCGTATGTGTACGTTATGCAGGAATTACGAAACAACACAACAGGCAGTTTTCGTGTGATTCATAAGATATTGTCTTAACAGTGAGAAAAAAAGAACCTTCGAGAAACTTTTTAGCCAAAGGGGTGAATGTAAATGATTCTGTAACCTGGATTTAAAAGAAACGGAAATCAAATAGTTTGACCCAACCCTGAACTTACAGGGCGTAAAGCGGAACTATATTTCTGTAATTATCATCAGTCAAAATGTGGTTGTTTACTAGCAGGTCTACAATAACAACATGGCATATTTATTTTTATGATCACTTCTCTGTACATTATACTACTACCTATCTATCTAGTGTCATATAATAAACCTACCTTCTCTTTATATTATACTACCTATCTATCTAGTGTCATATAATAAACCTACCTTCTATTTACATTATACTACTACCTATCTATCTAGTGCCATATAATAAACCTACCTTCTTTTTACATTATACTACTACCTATCTATCTAGTGTCATATAATAAACCTACCTTCTCTTTACATTATACTACCTATCTATCTAGTGTCATATAATAAACCTACACGACAATAATATAAAACTGCATATGTTGATATTTTGTTAAGTGCTGTCTCGATCGGTTTGTTAAAGATTAGAATACAGAATATCTATGTGTCTATCTATCTATTATACGCGTGCGCGCGCACACAAACACACACACATATATATAGCAAACCTACACAAGAATGGTAAGTTATAAAACAGTACTATGAAATTTTAAATGTTGATACGGCCCTTTGTTAGAGATTAGCTTATGCGAATTAATATTTTGTGTTAATTCTTCGGCATTTTTTTTTACAGGTTAGATTTTGAGACTTGAAGCGTAAAATAAAATAAAATAAAATAAAAATTGTATGTTGACACTTTGACAAGCATTCCCAACTGTTATATTACAGATATGCAACTAGAGGCGTAAAGTACAAAACAATATGAAACTGTACATTGAAACTTTAGCTAGTTTCGACTGTTGTGGTACAGATTAGTTTATTGGACAGCAAACATATAACAATATGAAATGGTAAATGTCGTATTTTGACAAGCAGTCAAGGGAGTTTGGTACTTTAATAAACCACAATAAACTCATTATAATTCGATAGTCCGTGGGACAATCTGTGAAACAACTGCAGATCGTGATATTCTACAATGAAGAAGACGCTTTCAGGCACCTTGTAGAAGGCCACTTACTATTAGGTAGGACATAGTATTATTATATTGTGTTTTTTACTTCTACTAAACAGTATAAAATTTTGAGTTTTTCCTGTTACCCTCAGTATTTAATTTTGTGAAGCATGCTATAATCCTTTAGAATTTGATTAAATTTCTATATTTTTGGTCTTACTATTTCACTTGTGAAACCTTTTAATATAAATATGCCAAAGATGTTTACTGTTCTGGAATGAAAAATAAAATGAAATAATCAAAATTAAGCTCATATTTATGAGGAAACTTGAATTTTGTAAATTGTCGCTATAACTTATAAAAACAAACAAACATTACTTAAGAAAACTTTGCTCTATCTATAGTTTAGCTTACAAAGATTTTCAAGTAATGTAGTCAGCTCTTTCTGAGCATCAATAAAAAACTAAAGTTATAACTATAGGATGTTACATAATCCAAAAATAAGTACCACAAACTACGAAGTTGGAGCAGTTACAAATATCCCATTAGAACAATAGAAAATATTGAATTTCACAAAACACTTTGAGGAATATTTGTTTAGAAACATAGAGCAGCCAATTATTGTTTATATTTGGTGTATTTATGATACATGTATCTCCAAGGTAATCAAATTTTCATTGACAAGGAGCGTTGCTTCAAACTCCGAGTAAGTCACCTGCAGGGCGTGAATAATTGAATCTCATTGGAAGACGTACCAACACCTGTACTGAATCCTTCTGTTTCCTGATGCAATTAGATTTTCAAAGAAAGTGGCCACACCCTATATTTCATATAAAATGCTTCCCTATGTGCTGGAGCTTTACTTCTTGTTATATTGGCACACTTCTTGCACATTGAGAAATTTTGCACATTAGTACTTATAGTGAAAGTTTACTACTGATAGTTGGAACTTTGTTCTACATGCAGTTGGTAAGTAATGAGTTTGCTATTGCAATTACCTCCAGTATAAAGTTTATTTTTCAAAATTTAAGTAGGTAGTTAATACCTTTATCCCCAGAAGAATGTGTGTACTTTCTTACTTTAAATACAAATTGAAAAGGTTTATTACAATTATAATAAGTTGTAAATGGGTTTAAGTCTAATATAAAGTTTGAGTTATTAAAAGTCCAGTGTCCAATGAATAGCTTTTCTCCAGTATATAGCTTATGCAATAATGCGTTAAATAAATAACGAATAGGTTTACACCTATTATAAACTCTGTATAATTAGAATTCAAATATATTCACCCACAATATGAATATTGCATTATTACAATTTAGAAAGCTAATGAATACGTTTACCTCCAATCTAAAGTTTGTAACATTAGAATTTGAATAGATACGAATATTATTACTTACAGTACAAAGAATTTGTTATTACAACCTAAATAGCTAATTAATAGGTTTACTTCCAGTATAAAGATTGTATTACTACTATTGAAATATATAGTGAATAGGTCTCCATTACAAAATTTGCATTATTACAACTTAAATTACATGTTTCATTATGACATATTTATCTTAATACACCAGATATTAGTAAATACAATATTTTACGCACTGTGTTACTGATTCAATCTTTATTAAAATAATCTATTATAACTAACTAAATAACAACATATTGGCACTTGGTGAAATGGTTTTATTAACTTTGCACCAGTCAAAACTTGAGATGTTTTACACATTTTAGTGGCTCAGTGGTAAGTCTGTGAGTTTCGATACTTGCGGTGGGCACAACACAAATATCCACTTGTGTAGTTAATTGTTTTGTGCTATAAAATAAACAAAAATAGAAACAATACGGAGAACAGTATTTGTGAACGCGTGAAATATAGTTCTGATAAAATAAAACAGCCAATTTTTTCATGGTATGGCTTATTTAAGAATAACTAAAGAAACAAATTTAATCGCAAGAAATGATAACTAATCTATATTATATAATTCGATGGATACCAACAATGACAATCAATTCGTGTGCTAAACGAATAAATATACGAAAAGAATGTTTAAGATGTACACTTAGAGCTTTACAGTAAGACCAGTAGTAATGCTAATTCTAAGAATGTAACACTAAAACTAAATGTACACTTAGAGCTTTACAGTAAGACCAATAGTAATGCTAATTCTAAGAATGTAACACTAAAACTAAAGAATAATGTATTTACAACAATATATTAAACACACAATGTCTGCCATATTTAAGCTGACGAGGCCTTTCGCTTGATACCAGAGATTCTCAGGTTTTGATGGATATATATATATAGCAGACAAAGAAGTGGTTGGATTTTATATGAGTCAATTACAAATCATAATTAGATTAAGAATTAATAACACAATATTACGTATTTATTTCAACAATAATCATTTCGTTAATATTATTTATTTTTACTTGAAATAATTTAACTGATCATTGAGAAGAACTTTCAAACTAGTCCTATCTTAGTTTATCTGTTGGTAAGTTGAAGATTAGCAATATACTTCAAATGATTTTGTATTCATGAAACAAAGACTGGTATCCATTGACTCAAATGACGATACATTCTTGTTAGTATAATAAAGATGACAAAGACACCATCCTTTGATTATTTGTTAAATTATGATATATACTCGAAAATAAATAAATAAAACGTTCTTTTCTTTACAGGCACAATGAAGCAGAAATGGATAATCTTTCTGTCTCTTTTGGGTAAGAATAAATATTTTGTGCTAACTTCATTTTGTGTAGGAGTATTCACCAGGTTAAATTACAAAACCCTATAGTGTTCAAATAAACAACAGGCACTGAGCTCGTAGAGAACAAAGTTCTTAACGCTTGGCTGCTCCAAAAATAAGTACATTATATTACAGGATTTCAGTAATAACGGTTTATGTTCAAATCATTAGGTTCCAGTAATAATGGTTTATGTTCAAAACATTAGGTTCCAGTAATAATGGTTTATATCCAAAACATTAGGTTCCATTGATAATGGTTTATGTTCAAAACATTAGGTTTCAGTAATAGTGGTTGATGTCCAAAACATTAGGTTCCAGTAATAGTAGTTTATGTTCAAAACATTAGGTTCCAGTAATAACGGTTTATGTTCAAAACATTAGGTTCCAGTAATAATGGTTTATGTCCAAAACATTAGATTTCAGTAATAGTGGTTCATGACCAAAGCATTAGATTTCAGTAATAACGGTTTATGTTCAAAACGTTAGGTTCCAGTAATAATGGTTTATATCCAAAACATTAGGTTCCATTGATAATGGTTTATGTTCAAAACATTAGGTTTCAGTAATAGTGGTTGATGACCAAAGCATTAGATTTCAGTAATAACGGTTTATGTCCAAAATATTAAGTTCCATTAAAAACGGTTTATGTTCAAAGCATTAGGTTCCAGTAATAATGGTCATGATCAATGCATTAGATTTCAGTAATAACGGTTTATGTCTGAAGCACTAGGTTCCAGTAATAACGGTTTATGTCCGAAGCACTAGGTTCCAGTAATAACACTTTCCGTCCGAAACATTATGTTTTAGTAATAACGGAATTTTGAGGGCAATATTGATTTGTTTACTGGGCTTGCTGAATAACAAAAGTAAATGAAAAATCACTTACATTACTAATTTATATTTATCACAGTTGCATCATTCGTTTCGTCAGTGATAATTATCATACTTTTGTAACTTATGTTATGTGTATATTATCACAAGAGTAATACAATGTTTTTACCTCAAAGTGTATATTGCGAAAGTACCGTTATTAATAGTAAAATCATATCCGTCGCTTTTAATAAAGTCTGATCTTCCTTTTTATCTCAGCTTAGCTCAAGTTTAAGAAGGGATTTTAATCTTTTCTCCAGACTAATTCAGGGATAATAATGACTTTATATTTTCTCCAAATTAGTTCATACTTTCTGACGACAGCACCTTTATAATTTATGTAGACTAACCTAGAGTTACTGACGACGGGATCTTTAAAATTTATGTAGATTAACCTAGAGCTACTGACGACAGGATCTTTAAAAGTTATGTAGATTAATCTAGAGTTACTGACGACAGGATATTTATAATTTATGTAGACTAGCCTAGAGTTACTGACGACAGGATCTTTAAAATTTATGTAGATTAATCTAAAGTTACTGACGACAGGATCTTTAAAAGTTATGTAGATTAACCTAGAGCTACTGACGACAGGATCTTTAAAATTTATGTAGATTAATCTAAAGTTACTGACGACAGAATCTTTAAAAGTTATGTAGATTAATCTAGAGTTACTGACGACAGGATATTTATAACTTATGTAGACTAACCTAGAGTTACTGACGACAAGCCTTTATAACTTATGTAAATTAATCTAGAGTTACTGACGACAGTATCTTTATAATTTATGTAGACTAACCTAGAGTTATTGACAACAGGCCTTTATAACTTATGTAGATTAATCTAGAGTTACTGACGACAAGCCTTTATAACTTATGTAAATTAATCTAGAGTTACTGACGACAGTATCTTTATAATTTATGTAGACTAGCCTAGAGTTACTGACGACAAGCCTTTATAACTTATGTAGATTAATCTAGAGTTACTGACGACAGGATCTTTATAATTTATGTAGATTAATCTAGAGTTACTGACGACAGACCTTTATAACTTATGTAGATTAATCTAGAGTTACTGACGACAGGTTCTTTATAATTTATGTAGATTAATCTAGAGTTACTGACGACAGACCTTTATAACTTATGTAGATTAATCTAGAGTTACTGACGACAGGATCTTTATAATTTATGTAGATTAATCTAGAGTTACTGAAGACAGAACCTTTATCCTTTCTCCAGACCACCTTAGGGTTACTGACGACAGGACCTTTATCCTTTCTCCAGACCACCTTAGGGTTACTGACGACAGGACCTTTATCCTTTCTCCAGACCACCTCAGGGTTACTGACGACAGGACCTTTATCCTTTCTCCAGACCACCTCAGGGTTACTGACGAGGGTTGCACTATGAGAAATCGATTCAATTCTGAAGAGCACACCGAAACGAAGTTCGGTCATATGTTTAACGGTTTTTTTGTTGTTGTTTTGTTTTACGAGAGCTCGATCAAGAAAAAGTAAACATACCTAAAGGATAATTATAACTGTTTATTTGTATGAATAAATGTGAGTTCTTGTGATTTGAATACACTTGAAAAATATTTACAGGACTATTCACTATAACTTTTGGTGAAAGAAAAAGGTCAGCATCAAATACTGAAGTTGATGAAAACGATCAAATTCAAGCAGTAAGTTTTCCTTTCATCAACATTTCTATAAAGGATGTAATTTTACACTAATGTTAACTGTTGATCACAAAAACATACCCTCATTGATCAAAACTAAAAGTACATAAACGTAATTTAATATGTAGTTCTTAGGTTCTCATTTATAGTAATTAGCGATACAACAGGAAGGAGTTGATAGTGTTGGATGATCATTGAAAATGGTGATGCTTTCTTTAATAAAGAGTTCGTAATCTGTGGCTCCGGAGTTGAGAAGTTTTCTAGAACTATGGGATGGTTGTTATTCTCAGTGCAATAAAGATTCGGGTGGATCAGTTAGCTTATATTACCTTTTTGCTGAAATTCCCATGTGCTCATGTGCATGTGTTTGTGGTGACGTGTAGTTTTACCAATATAGGTAGCTTTGCAGCAAGAGTCGGACCTAGAGGTGATTCCATCGCCACTCCGTCTATCTGATTATAAAGATGACCATTAAAAACGAAGTGATTGTCCTTGAGGGCCAGTTTAAGCTGTTTGAATTTTTTTATAGTTAAAGTTAGAGTGCTGAGCGTTTTCGGTAGGGAATAATTGTTTACTAATTATTTTAATTGTTTCCTCTTGCAAATATTTTCCTATGTTATTACGAATGTCAATGGCTGGATAATTGTCCCCTTTATTATAAACCAGTATGATGATACTTATCATGCCAAGAAGTTTTTAAAATACCTAAACTTACAACATCCACGTATAAACTTTACATGTGAAATGGAAGAAAACAATAACTTAGCTTTTTTTTTAGACGTTCAAATAAACAATCTCTTTGCCACATCTATTTAACGTAAGAAAACATTTTCTGACTTATAAACTCGTTTCGACAGTTTCATACCAGACTCCTTCAAACACAACTTTGTTATAACTCTTCTAAACATAGCTTAAAATATCTGTTCTGACTACTTCTGTCTTCTCTCAGAGATTTCAAAAATTCATAACAAAGTAATGGTTATTCCTTAATCTCTTACACTCTATCACACAAAAATGTTTAACAAATAAACACTGTCTCAAAATATCCACTAGTTCTTATCACTACTTTCATTGGCAAACAAAGTTTTCAACTCAAATATCAAATTCATAAAATAATCAAAACATATAACCCACAAATTAAGTTACGTTTAGTATTTACGTCAACATTTAGAATTAAAAATATGTTTAAAACCAAAGACACTACCCATTCCTATGCGCTTGTAGGTCGTATATAACAACACTTGTGATAGCTGTAAAGCTACCTATATTGGTAAAACTACATGTCACCTACAAATACGTGCACACAAACACATTGGAATTTCAGCAAGAAGTGGATGTAAGCTAAGTAATCCACCCGAGTCTTGTATCCGGATGTAAGCTAATTAATCCAACCGAGTCTGGTATCCGGTTGTAAGCTAAGCAATCCACCCGAGTCTGGTATCCGGATGTAAGCTAATTAATCCACCCGAGTCTGGTATCCGGTTGTAAGCTAAGTAATCCACCCGAGTTGTGTATCCGGATGTAAGCTAAGTAATCCACCCGAGTCTGGTATCCGGTTGTAAGCTAAGTAATTCAACCGAGTCTGGTATCCGGATGTAAAGTAAGTAATCCACCGAGTCTTGTATCCGGATGTAAGCTAAGTAATCCATCAGTGTCTTGTATCCGGATGTAAGCTAAGTAATCCACCCGAGTCTGGTATCCGGATGTAAGCTAATTAATCCATCAGAGTCTTGTATCCGGATGTAAGATAAGTAATCCACCCGAGTCTGGTATCCGGATGTAAACTAAGTAATCCACCCGAGTCTTGTATCCGATTGCACACTGAGAATAACAACCACCCCATACTTCTAGAAAACTTTTCGATTCCGGAACCACAGATTACGAACTCTTTATTATAGAAAGCCTCTCTATTTTCAATGATCACCCAACATTAAATAATAACATCAACTCCTCCCTGTTGTCATTAATGTTTAATCAATTCCGGATTGTCAGTGTTTTTATTTGATATTTATTACTATTTTAAAGATACAGTGTTTATACTCATATTTAAACCTTGCTTTATAATGTTTTCTTTCAACAATGTTATTTATTAAACTTGTACGCAGCCCGGCATGGCCAGGTGGTTAGGGCGCTCGACTCGCAGTCTGGGGGTCGCGGGTTCAAACCCCCGTCATACCAATCATGCTCGCCCCTTCAGCCGTGAGGGGGGTATAATTTGACGGCCAATCCACTATTGTGGTAGCCCAAGAGTTGGCGGTGGTTGGTGATGACTTGCTTCCTTCCCTCTAGTCTTACACTGCTCAATTATGGACGGCGTGCGCAGATAGCCCTCGTGTAGTTTTGCGCGACATTCATAATAAACGTGTATCGCACATTCCATTATATTGACACAATTTAAATTTGTTCTTTCTAAGCTTCCGATTAAATAAGAAAACTCGCTCAATGCTAATGTTGTTTTTTGTAGTTCAAATATTTTGAAGTAACTTTTTTTGAGATATTAACATTGATGTTGGAAGTTAAGGAAATTCCGAAACGTCCGTATTAAAGATGTTTTTGGTATTACCGTGTTTTTTAATATTTATGATACGTCAGGGATATATCTTCATTCAAATGTCTATACCTTTCTAGGAGAACATATTTATCCCTATCTATCTACAACACGATCACCCTGCAGTCTATGAAGTTCCGGAGTCCGTAGCAAACTATCCGCGTTCAGACTATGGTAATGATCAATTGGTTCTTTCGTCACCTGGGCCTTCTTCGAATATTCTTCCACGCCCGAATGATCACTCAACAGTAGGGATAAGGTATGAAGATGGACATAGCAACTATCACATCAAAATCAACCCAATTCCTGGAATACCTGGAGAAGATTATCCTGTGTTTTCACAAGTTCCCTTCACCAGATTTAGATGCAAAGATGTGCCCTATCCTGGATTTTATGCTGATGTTGAAAGTGGATGTCAGGTAAAACATTCGTATTTATGTTTTTTTAGTCAATTACCTGTAGCTTTGTAGCAATATTATTATTGTATGTATCTGACAGAGCGTTATATCCCATAATTGTTTATTATTTCAATTTAAACTGACATTGATACTTTGTGTGGAGTAAGATATTATGCCTTATACTTACCGATTCCTTGTTTTTAGTTTCACACTGAGCTCGAGAGGTGCGTTTTGTATTTTTATTGTACCTTAAATTCTAGACTGGCATCAGCAGTGTGTGTCGTAAGTTTGGGAACATTTAATATAATATATAGTTACTTGTCTTAAACTCTATCCTGGCGTTAGCAAATAAATAAATAACATTGTGTTATTTATCTTTACTGTAATACTGATTTCTAAGTGAGTTAAATAAAATTAGTAGCAACTACACTTCAGTTACCGAATCTAGTGCAGATCATAAAAGTCAGTGTTTATGCGACTAATGATATAAATATCATCTAAGCCACTACTATCTCTCTTGTATCTCAACCGGCCTAATGAGCCCTGTTGTCCCCCGTGGACAGCGGTAAGTCTACGAGCTTATAACGCTAAATCCAGGGTTCGTTTCCACGCGTTTAACACAGCATATGGTCCAATATGTCTTTACGAAAAACAAAACAAAACAACAACAACCAATAACCAGAAACAGACAAACTAAACCCTGATATTTGGCGAATGTCTTCTTCGGTACTGAAAATGGCAGACATATTCTTCTTTTCTTTCACTCTTGACGTCTTAGAGTTTGGTTTATTCATACTGATATTGATAGCAGATGTAGGTATGGTAAGTACGTATATTGTACGTATCAACTATTGTTGAATTTTTGAATTTTTAAGTAAGCATTACGTCTTGTTTTATACCAAGGTTAATTATCACCCAAAACATTATATGTTTGTTACAGTTAGTGTCTGTCAGCTGGACTTCAATCTTCTACTCTTTGATTTAAGTTGACATTGAGTGGGGAATGTAATATATTGAAAGTATTCGGTAAAACGTTGGGATGACTTACTTTCCTCACTCAAAAAAAGATGAAATGATTCAGAAAGTAAAAACGTTAGAATGGATTATTGTTACCTTTAGTCTTACGTATGTGTCGAGCGAATGGCAGATAGTCCATGTGGTAAGAAGTGAGAACTGACTGTGTGAAAAGCATAAAGTTTTGGAGCATATTAGTTTTTTACTTCTTAATGTCTAAATGACACTAATTGTATGGAAAAGCATGTAAAGGAGGCGTGTATTTAAATAGTCTCGCTATTCATTTTTAAGAACTCTTTATAGAAAGCGAAGTGAACCAGCAGAAGTCAAACGTTTAAGTGAAGAGTGTGAGCTACAGAGATTTTACTCTTTCAAGAAAAGTCTCGGAGAACAAGAAATTAAAATTAATACAAATAAACCTATGGCGAGTTTCAAAAGGAAAGGAATTTTTCGCCTAGATAGATTAACTTAGAAAAAAAGTGAGGTAACTGTGGGTTTGAAAATATAATTACTCGAAAATTAGTGCCCCCCCCCCCCGATGAGACAGTGGTAAGACTACGGATTTATACTGCTAAAATCAGGGGTTCAATTCCCCTTTATGAACACAGCAGATAGCTCGTTGTGGCTCTGCTATAAAACACATACAAATTAGGGAAATATTATTTTAGTATGCCCCCTTATAGAGTTTGCTTTGATGGTTATAGCACTCAACTTGCAATCTGCTGGTTGTGGGTTCTAATCCTCGTCACCGAACATGCTCGCCCTTTCAACCTTGAGGACGTTATAACGCGACGGTCAATCCCACTATTCGTTAGTAAAAGATTAGCCTAAGTGTTGGCGGTGGGTGGTGCTGACAAACTGCCTTCCCACTAGTCTATCACTACTAAATTAGGATCGGCTAGCGTAGAAAGCCCTGAAGTAGTTTGCGCAAAATTCAAAACCAACCCAACTTTGAGGGGTATATTCTTAATGTTCAGATGTTATCAATAGCTTGTATATTTTACGGTAGATCGAGAAGTTGCGTGAAATCATGTTCATTTCACAGTAATGTGTTGTATACCACCAGCTACATCATAGTAACTGCAATACTTCAGTCAGTAGAACATGTTTGCACAGATAGAAACAAACTGCCAAGTTTAAAACCTCTGTGAATCCGATATAGACAACCTTAATTTTAACCCGTGGACCGGGAACATAATTAGTCGACAGCACCCACCGCTTGAAGCGACTACTATTTACGGAATTGTGGAACTTACTATCACTCTTATAACGCATGCACAGCTGAAAGAGAGAAATGTGTTCGGCAGCACGACGTCTGGAATCCGAGACTCTCAATGCACAAACACCAGATCATTCTCGGGACCATGCACAATGAAAATTTTCAAAGAATAAATAACCGATTACTTAACTGGTTAGTCACAAACAAAATTTTAAAAAATCGAGCTGAAGTGGAGGCAGGTATGTTAAAGAAGTTCTTAAAGTAGTCGCAGTAACTTTGGAAAAGAAAAAAAATACATTGTATGAATGTAGGAGAAAATATTTGTTACTCTGGTAAACAAAGCAGCTGGGAAGATGATAGATTCAACACAAAAGAATTAAAAGTGTCTTTAGATCTGCAATGTTTAAGGTATATATATTAAAACTATATAAAAATACAACATCAGAAATTTAAGTATTACAACTTTTTTCTTGCATTTTTTAAAATAACAAATAAGTGCCAAGAAATATATAAAAAAGAACGGACACAAGAACCTGCTACCCAAAGCCAGATAGACTAGGAATATTTATTAGATGGCATTCGTTTTCTTCGACCTAAAGTCATCTGTAAAGCAGGAACCTTCATTAGATGATGTTCGTTTACTATGGCCGATAGCCAAATGGACAAGAAACCTTCATTAAACAGTATTCGTTTTCTCTCAACCTAAATTCTGCTGTAAAGCAGGAACCCTTCATTTTATGGTATTTGTTTTCTTTGACCAAAAGTCAACTATGGAGAAGGTATCATTGTTAGGTGATATTCATTTTCTTCGACCGAAAAGCTAATAGAGTAAAAACCATATTAGACGGTATTTATTTTCTTCGACCAGTAAATCTGGAACCTTCAATAGATAGCATTCATTTTCTTCAACCTAATGTGAACTGTAAAGTAGGAACCCTTCATTGAATGGTATTAGTTTGCTTCGACCTAGTCTTATTGTTAGACATGCAAGTCCTCTAATCATGTCAAAAAATCTTTTCACGTGTAAAGTGCAGTTTGGAAATGCTTCTTCCAATAATCACAATTCCTACAAAACTTTTAAAGAAGTCTGTCATTATTTGTTTCAGAAACAACATGGTGATGGAGTTGTAGCTCATACTATGATTGTATTTACTGCATTTTTCCATAAGAATTCTATGGTTTTCGTTATTTCCGAGATAATATTATGCTTCTCATTACAGCCTAAAAATGAGTTCAGCTAAATGTTCGATGTATTCTTTCACAAATTATCTTAAGGTTAAAGATATATTCATTTGCATTTCGTCCAATCTCGCAGCAGTTTGTTGGCAGTTCTTAGCTGTATTCCAGTTATTTGTCTGCAACTACCTTGACCTCTGGTTTGTGTTAGGAGACATCCTTTTTTGTCTTTTATCACTGATTTTCTTGCTTGTTGACTTTTTGCCCTTTTGTCGTTGGTACTTAGGCTGTACTCGATGCGCTGGCATTTTTCATATATCCAGACCTTTTCCACCTTCTGCAAGTTACGGAATCTCAATATTTTTCATGGTCCATTTGGAAAACATTCTTTGCCACGTTCAAGAATTTGAAGGTAAAACAGTCCACCTCTTCCTCTTTTTTTATCTTAGAAGTAGTTTATTAGATGTTATCTTTGAACATATGTGCCCAGTCAGAATAAAGAACAACCAAAATGCGTGTATGTCGGTAGTGCACAAGATTCTTTATGTATAGGATTAGCCAGTAACCAACAGTTAAGTCAATATTGTTGCATACCTACACAGGTTTACAATTTAATATTTTTCTACAGACAAACACACTTCAAATCACATTTGCTATATTATTTACTATTAATCACATTGGACTAGGATAAGACAGAAGTAGTTTGGCAAAACGTTTAGAATTTGGTCCTTAAAACCAGGACATCCCCCAGTGGGACAGTAGTAACTTTACCAACTTACAACGCTAAAATACGGAGTTCGATTCCCTGCGGTGGACAAAACAGATAGCTCAATCTGGCTTTGCACTAAAATAAAACATACAGATTAAAAGTAGAGTTTTTGTAATACGTTCGGTCCTGATATACCCACTGTAATACGTTCGGTCCTGATATACCCACTGTAATACGTTCGGTCCTGATATACCCACTGTAATACGTTCGGTCCTGATATACCCACTGTAATACGTTCGGTTCTGATGTACCCACTGTAATACGTTCGGTCCTGATATACCCACTGTAATACGTTCGGTCCTGATATACCCACTGTAATACGTTCGGTTCTGATATACTCACTGTAATACGTTCGGTCCTGATATACCCACTGGAATACGTTCGGTCCTGATATACCCACTGTAATACGTTCGGTCCTGATATACCCACTGTAATACGTTCGGTCCTGATATACCCACTGTAATACGTTCGCTCCTGATATACCCACTGTAATACGTTCGCTCCTGATATACTTGCAGCTATACTTGGTTACAAAAGAGAAAAACAACAAGTAAAAATCTCAATACACAATATTTGTAATATATCAGCCACACATGTTACACCTATGCTACGCTACGCTTGGTCTAATGACAAGGCCAGAATCTCTAAGCATGTAATTAATTCAAAAGAACAAATAGGTTATATGTATATTCCCTTTCTCAACAATTGCGTCTTCTCATTTAACATACACAAACTTGTAGGAATGTGAATCTGCATTAAATATCACGAAAAATTTACAGATTAAGGCAAAAATACATAATTTTCCGAAATTGTTTTCTATAACTTACCCTATATAATAACAGAAAGTGTTAATTTAAAATGAAAATAAGTACATTTAACCAATACGAGGGTTGTTAAATATAATGCTGGAAGGAAATTAACACCCATGTAGAAAATTTCTTAGACTTGTTGGGCATTGTTTTACGCATTAAAGAATGAATTATACACCATATGGGAGTCTACAATGTTAAAGAATGAATTATACACCATATGAGAGTCTACAATGCTCAAGAATGAATTATACACCATATGAGAGTCTACAATGTTAAAGAATGAATTATACACCAAATGAGAGTCTACAGTGTTAAAGAATGAATTATACACCATATGAGAGTCTACAGTGTTAAAGAATGGATTATACACCATATGAGAGTCTACAATGTTCAAGAATGAATTATACACCATATGAGAGTCTACAATGTTAAAGAATGAATTATACACCATATGAGAGTCTACAATGTTAAAGGATGAATTATACACCAAATGAGAGTCTACAGTGTTAAAGAATGAATTATACACCATATGAGAGTCTACAGTGTTAAAGAATGAATTATACACCATATGAGAGTCTACAATGTAATAGTGTCCAAAATTAACACCGAAATTATAACCACATATCTGGTACGAATTTTTCTTACAAAGCAGTTTTGGTAAGATAATGTTACTACCTGTTATCTGTTTCTTTGAGAAGTACTAAACTGTTGTAATCTATATCACTGTACCAAAGAGAGCATTTAACTACCGCTACTTATATAGTGTAGTCTATATCACTGTACCAAAGAGAGCATTTAACTACCGCTACTTATATAGTGTAGTCTATATCAATGTACCAAAGAGAGCATTTAACTACCGCTACTTATATAGTGTAGTCTATATCACTGTACCAAAGAGAGCATTTAACTACCGCTACTTATATAGTGTAGTCTATATCAATGTACCAAAGAGAGCATTTAACTACCGCTATTTATATAGTGTAGTCTATATCTCTGTATGGAGGAAAGCATTTAACTACCGCTACTTATATAGTGTAATCTATATCCCTGTATGGAGGAAAGCATTTTACTATCGCTACTTATATAGTGTAGTCTATATCCCTGTATTAAAGACAGCATTTAACTACCGCTAATTTTCTAGTGTAGTCTATATCCCTGTATCAAAGACAGCATTTAACTACCGCTATTTATATAGTGTAGTCTATATCTCTGTATGGAGGAAAGCATTTAACTACCGCTACTTATATAGTGTAATCTATATCCCTGTATGGAGGAAAGCATTTTACTATCGCTACTTGTATACAATAATCTATATCACTGTATCAAAGACA